ACCATCCTTCTAATAAGAATAAATTTCAGCACCGTGTATGTTGGGCTTGAATAATGTCCATGCTTAAGGCTAAAGTGCTTCTTGGTAAAGGGCTTGTTAGAGATAATAATATAACCATTCTTAGCCCTTTTCCTAACAGCTTAAGCTTCCAGAATGTTATGATCCTCACCAATCAAGTTCTGTGTTCTTCCTCTTTTGCCATGTCTCTTAATATACTTCCAGTATGTAACCCTATCCCATAGTTACCTCTTGTTGGGCCATAGATTAGCTGAGTCCAAAACGAAGATAAATTACAAACTAGGTGAACAGGTTAGACGTATAGGTTTTTGGGGAGCTGTCCTTTGAAGTTTATGGAACTTTTCTTTTATAATTCTCTATATAAAAAAACAAAGGTTTTGCAAACAGAGAGACATGATCAACCACCAATCTGGTTAATCTAACACATTTAAGCCATAAATAATAATCGTAATACAACACAGTTTAATCCTGAAATGAATTTAAATTGACAACAAAAGGGCATTAATACTTTGATTTCTGAGTCAAGTAACTATCAACTCCGCTAAGAATTTTAAATGACCCAAGTATATTTACAAGAGTATACAGTCTAAAAGGCAAGTGAAGTAATCAGCAGAGCAAGAACAGAATTTTCTAAATTGATGAAACAAAACAGTTGAAATTGTCATATTCCTAACTATGACAGAAAAATGATACCCAAGTTAAAGTCTTTGCACGAGAGAGAGAGAGAGAGAGAGAGAGGATCTGAGTTTCTATGCTACAATTAAGCAAAGAGGCAAAAGGCATTAAATTGCTACCTGTAAGAGTGACAGGTCACGTAGAATTTCAATATTGTCAGGATCTATTTTCAGTGCATTTCGGTAGCACTTAATTGCTTCCCTATATTCTCTATCTGATCGATAAAGCAGACCATAAACATGCCAGCAAACATGACTTTTTAGGTCATTCTGCATCAGAACAAAAAATTAAGCTGCATTATCTGACAATGAATGAAAATAGGTTAAGGGTGTATAATCAAAGATAAAAGAAGACCTTTAGTCCCTGACGAACAAGATCATATGCTTCAGACTTACGATCCATGCAATTTAAAGTCAAACCCTTCATTGATAAAGTTTCTATCAACCAGAGGTGGATCAGACACAATAAGAAGATGGTCAGAAAAATATAATGAAGTATGCTCTAATTGAGTGTGAGGATATGAAGAGTGTAAAACTTGACAAACTATTAAAATTACGTTTCCTTGAGAGCCACTTAAAAGGAAAATGAATTGATTACAGGCCAGAAGTGAAAGCATGAGAAACAAACCAAAATGCTTACCTCCATGATCAGGGAATTTTTTTAAAATGGAATCAGCTGCTTTGAGCCCCTTTTTGTATTGTTTGGTTTCGTAAGATTTCTACAGGAACACAAGCAAGGAAGAATAAGCAACAGCCAACAGTTACGAAATTTTTTTTTTTTCTTTGCATAAAGATGTCGCTATGACTACGATCAACAAAATCTACTTAAATCCTTGCTCACGAACATGAACTTTTACACATTGATAAACTAAAAATTTCTAAAGGTTAAAGCACCAATACTTATATCAAGAAACCCAACCCTTTCTATGAAAAGGACCAAGAAGTAGGAATAAGAACGATGCCGTATTTTCCAAAGCAGTATATTCACTTAAAATTCTTTCTTTCTTTAAGAGAACACTCTTGGAAGTTGTTGAACGTGATCTCTTAATTAATAATATTTCTAAAAGCTTAATAAATGATAGAGCACAATGGCGTCTTGCAATCCATGTAGCCGACCCCACCTAGTGGGATAAAGGCTTGTTGTTGTTGTTGTTGTTGTTGTTTTATTTCTTTTACCCCTCTTTTAAGAGGTAGATAAAGCATTTGCATAGTACAATAACAACAGTAACAAATTATTTCCAGAAGGAATTTTCTCCACTATATATAATATCATAAAATTTGATCATATTCATTATGCATGGTATAACCACGTGATTTAGTTGGGTTGTCTGGGCAGGCACATTGACGACGATAAGCCCCCCACACTTAGATTGATCAAGGGAAAAGCCGTTCACGCTTCCTGCTGGCAGTACACTCAAACTCTAAAGCACCAAACTTTATTTCAACTGGCGCTAAATTCTGACAACCTTACGATACCCCAAAACCACAAAATTGAACTGAAGACCCCCAAATTAGTTCCTTTGATTTCACAGCAACAAAAAAAAAAACCATAACAAACTAATTATATAAATAACAGAACCTAGGGTTTTAAGATGGCAAAGCAATTGAGAAAGTAGGAGAAAGTGAGCAAACTTGGATCAAGCCACGAGAAGCAATCCAAAAATCTAAATAAACAGAAAATGAGAAACAAAGAAAAAAAAAATCGAAGGCTGCTTACAACAATAAGCTTGAAGAGGTTGGCCTCTTTAGGGGGCAGAGAAGCACCCATTATAGCGGGTATAGAGAGAAAGTGAGTTGGGGTTTATGGCGTATGAGAGAAAGCAGAACAAAGCGTCAGGGAAGGGAAGTGCGACAAGACAGAGAATGATGGCGTTTATCAGCAACCCTACTGTGAAGAAGAAGCTGAGACAGGAACGAGGATGCTGCAAAATGTGAAGAGTTAAAAAGGGTGCGCGCGTGTGGCCACTCAAAGATGCTGCTTCGCGTAATTGACCTTCCAATCGCGTGGGATTTCATCGGCAAAGACACTGAAAATTCTCTGCATTTACCGCCTGAAAAAATAGATTAAAACGTATAAATGACGGTAGACAAAATTATAAAAAAGCAAAAACCGTTCCAGAAATTATAATTTTTTATATTAAAAAATTAGGTGGATTGAGCTTGAACCTTCGGGGTGTGTGTGTCATTTTCTTTTTCTTTTCTTTCTTTCTTTTTTTTTTTTTTTTTTGCCAACGAGCCTATGGTAAAAGGACCAACTGTGTATCAACTTGACTCATATTTGTTAAAAAGGCATATATTATTATTATTATTAGAATCAATATTGCACCATGGCTAATTCATGACAGTATCACGATGAACCATCATTTTTCAAGCAGTGCCATGATACTAAAAATCTCCTTTTAGGTGTTTTTTTTTTATATGGTTATGTATCTGATTGAATCAAACTTGAATATTATCAGTCCAATCAGGGGTAATTTTTTTAAAAATATTTTTTAATTTACACAAAGTCAAATTCAAAACCTCGTGCTTAAATCACAGTATCCTCTTCCACCAAGACTAATATTCTTGATCCCTTTAATGTTTTTTAAGTATAAAATTGTGTATTACATTTAGTGGTATGGTGGATACAAAAACCGAGTTCTATCTGCTAAAGAATGAATGTCAAAAAATAGTTATCCTCCCTAATATTTATTTATTATTTTATTTTTTTGCAATTCTTAAAAAGGAAATGAAGAAGAAATAATAAGTACGAAAAGAGAAACTAATCTATATGTCTAAATCTATAGGAAGTGCGTCACAATATATATTCTTTTGTATTATTTATCGCAAATTAAGGTTTCACCATAGTATTTTTGTTTCGGCCAAAAGATCTATTATTTTTCCTATCTTTATATATATATATATATATATATATATATATATATATATATATATATATATATATATATATATAGCCAACTATTATTTTTCCTATCAGGTGAAAATCTACTCTCTCTTTTCTCAAAATTGGATTAATTAATAGAATCCACAAGTCGGGTGGGACTCAATTTTAGCCTGGAGTAACTATACTTGCTACTTGCTAGGATCTATCTATATATCTAACAATCTAATTAATTCATAAAAAATCATAAATAGTGCTACTTAGTACTCACTATACAACTCATATCATGTATAAATAACACTATCTTATTAACAACAACAACAAAAAAGATAAACTATGCATATTTAAATTTTATCTGGATTAAAACGTTAAATTATCTACATACATACTACTGCTGCCCTGTCATTTCATTTAATCTTCCACTATCACAATTTTTTAAAATTGTACACGTCCAAATTAGTTCATAATATTCCTGATTTAATTTTAAATTCTATCGTTTTGATTTTAAATTTTATCTGGATTAAGACATTAAATTCTATCATTTTGATTTCAAAAATATAAGACTTTTTTTAAGAGTTGGATGTTAAAAAATGTAAAACATTTTTAGCTTTTCAAGTTGTAATCATTGTCTTTTTTTAAAAAATACCCTCATTCATAGTGACTTTTTATTTATTGTAAAATGTTTAATAGAGATAAATATGAAAAAATAACGTTAGTTTGAAAGTAGATAATTATTTTATTGAGAGTGAAATTCAATTTAAAATATCTTACATTTTTTAACGGAAGGAGAGAGTATATACTATTGCTATCCTGTCATTTCATTTAATCTTTCACTATCACAATTTTTTAAAATTGCACACTTCAAAATTGGTTCATAATATTCCTGATTTAATTTTAAATTCTAGCGTTTTGATTTTCAATGTTTGGCTTAATCACTGGGAATTTAAGATGTCTGCATGTCGACACACCTTATCTTTCAAAAATAACCGTGACCTAGTTATGAATCGTTATACTGTCTGTATTTCTCGCTGTAAAGTCAAAGCATATTTACAACTTTAGATAGTGCAGTCACTGTACCTAACATGCAACACTTTCATTTTTCAAATATAGATTACCTAAATCTGGCAAATACACATATACATATGGCTTACCTTAAAAAGTTGTATAAAAGAAAGTGAAAATACTTTTCCAGTTCCAACACAACTAAATTATATGTTTATTCACTTTTTGCTTCTTTGAGAATAAAAATAAATAAATCAAAATAGCATATAGATGAGGGTCCAAGATGCTGCTCATGGCCACGGGCCACCACAACTACGTATCTTGAGAACACAGCGCTTAAGCATTAAGCGTGCATGCCTACTTTTTTTTTTTTTTTTTCCTTTTTGGCTCCTTTCAAGCATTAAGCCAAGATCATTTAGTTCAAGTAGCATCAAAGTATCCTTGTGATATTCACATCTGGGGTTCAAGCTGTGTCCGTGAATGTTCTAGCGCTTGCAAAATAAAAACACAAAAAATGAAATGAACGTCAAGAGGTTAAGTAATAGGGGGAAAAGGATATGAAACATGCATGTATGAACAATTTGAGGATTTGAAAGGCTTTGCACCCTAACCACTAACGTAAAATTGAGGATGAAAAAGAACACTAGCGTCCGGCTGTAGAAGATACAATTGGGGTGTTTCAAGGCCGATTGAAGAGAACAACAGAGGCCACCCAAATTCCATCCCTCCATTTTTTTTCCTAAGGTATCAAGTTCTGCTGATAGCCAGTCACGTCCAAATAACAGCTCCACATCCTTAAGGCGACAAATTCAATCAGCTTTTACATGATGTAGAGGCTAAATTCTTGTATGCAAGATCTATTTCCTCTTCAGTCATCTCAACTGTCTCATCACTGTCATATTCAGGTGCACCAGCAGATTTGGCTTTTGTTCTTCCATTTCGGTTAGTCTGTTCTTTATTTCCCCTAGACTTCTTTCTCCGCTTATCATCTAAATTGTCAAGTTCCGCCTCATATATACGTTTACACTCCACTGCCTGTTTGTATAAATCTTCCTTTGATACCGAGGCTGTGTTGTTTCCTGAGACATCAAATTTGGCCAGCTCCTCAACTACACGAGGAATGAAGTTCCACTCCTCAGTTGCTTTACAGATATCCTGATGAACGTATTTAATAAGCTCAAAAGGCCAAAATCAACTAGCAGTCCAGTCAAGTTTAGGCTAGAAAAATAGCAGGCAAGTTGTATATTATATTCTATCAATAAAATAATGATGTATCTTGCATTGAAACTAAAAGTAGCATGTAAATTGAACAAATCTACAGAAAAATCAGTGCCATAATAAATTAAGAAAGATGAGCTGAAAGGGACATATATAAAAGCGCCTATTGTCAGAACTCAACTATACAAGTACAATAAAATGTTCCATGGGCCGCAAAATATGAGAAGAAAGGTGCGAGGAAAAGCTCCGGCAGGAGAAAGCAGGATTAAAAGAATCACTCTAATGCAATTTAATGACTAGATCTTATTATTATTAGTTACAAAGTCAGACTTTCAACCATTCAAAATGTAGGGAGGAATGGCAGGCAACTAATGTAACATATGAAATGGGGTAGGTAATAAGATTTTATCAAGAGAATGTGAACTACCAAATACTGCTTGGGTTCATGCGAGAAAGACAGAAGTTATTTAACATAAGGTTTTGTTTGGTCCAGACTAAGGATTTTTAATGGACTAAAAATAAATATTGGAAAATGAAGTTTTGGTATACATGTGAATAGAAACAAAAAAATTTATTAAGCAAAGTGTGGTAGTATAAAAATAATAAAAGAATGGAGATGAATAAAATGTAAAATACTGGAATACCTCTCAAAATAAAAGTATAAAAGAAGGGAGCTTGGCGCAGTTTTGGAATTTGACCATGGTTTCCTTGAAGCATAGCAGCATTTCATTCATGAAATAATGGAAAATTTTGGTTGTACAGCTTTCCTGAGCCAATGGGCCAAGGAGTCCAATTCATGCATGCTAAACAAGTTTTTATGGGAATCCATGACTCCTTCCCTTTCCTATAGTCGTGTTTCCATTGAATAAAATGTAACCTAAATCTTGTCTGACAAGTAACTAATTATATGATAATTTAACACTACCTCCAAAAACTTTGACATGTTCACATTCCTTTATTTCCAAATTAGCTTGAAGGGCTTCTTTTATCATCTCACCGCAAGGCAGTAGCTTTGCAATTAATTGTTTAGTAACAAAAACTGATATTTATATAAAAATAGAATCGCCCACATAGCACCTGGAAAGTGTTGGACCATATTTTAATGATTCGAGCCTTCAATGTTCTGTGTACAGTGAACCCTCAGACGAAATCGTTGAATGAGAACAGAACTTTGTGCTCTATATTTCTCAATGCCAAACTCTTCTGAGTCAGCAAAATTTTAAATGAAAGCGCTGCATAAAAGATTATAATCTACGTATGCATGAAACAATTAATTATACTTACATTCCAAAGTGGATAGAATAAGCCAGAAAACAAGTTTCTAAATTGAAAAAGTAACAATCATCTTGAAAGGGAGAAAAGAAAAGAAAAGAAAGAAAGAATAACCTGTTTTTCCTTGAGGGAACTGGTTACATCTTGCAAGCAAGTAAGAATCCCCCCTGCAGCTATTTTCACTATCTCATCTTGGTCCGGCTAAAACATAAAGTAGAATTAAGAGCAGGCCAATATATGATATTAAAAAAAATCTTAAGCACAACTTAATTGCTATGATAGATAGTTACTGCTGTCGAGCATTTAAAAATACAAGCGTTCTATAAGAAAATGAAAATAATAGCAAGTGAATAAGTAGACAAAAGAGAATGTTTTCTTACAAATGCCTTTGGACTCTTTGATTGCTAACGCATATTACATTTTATCTAGGGTCAGAAAACATTTTGGCAAAAGGGAAACATCACTTTGACCAAACATATTAATCAAACACATGATAAAACAGCAGAGTTTCAGGCTTCACAAAAAAGAGCAAATATTACAAACTACTATGGCAAATCAAAATTTAAAAGAGAGAACATCAAGGAATGGTTTGTTTAAAGGATACAAAACTCAAGTGAGACACAAGTTGCGGACTGCCAAGTGCCAATAGAGAGATGTGGAAGAGATCACTTAGTTACCTTTTCTTCTTGACTCTCCAGCCACTCAATTGTTCTATTCAAGTCCTCAATAGCCCACTTCTTCATTTCAGAAGCAGAAAAGCATTTCTTAAAAGGATCAATTTTATTTCCCTGGAAGCATGTCATGAAACATACAAATATATCATGCAAACATACAAAATTAAAATTTAGAACTATTATTCCTGGAGCCCAGGCATTGTAGCTTACAGAAAGGTCAGCTTTTACCTTTAATTTTGTTGAGGTAGATGACGTTGAAGGTGACCCTCTCTCAATATGCTTCGGGGATTTGTTGGGAAGGGATGATTTTTGACCTGCAAGTATTGATGAATTCATATGGACAGAAACAACTCATCAATACGTTAAATATAAACAACAGGCTATGAGTTTCAGCACATTACTGTCGTGCCTAAATGTACTTCCAACAAAGAAAATGAATGTACAGATGACCCTTAAAAAGTATATGTATTCTTTGTCATTTCTAGAGAGTTTCAATTTCATATGTAATACATTATATCACTAATATATAATCTATCGGTTAAAATTTAAATCAGCCGTATTATTTTACCATTTATTTTTGGGGAAAACATTTCATGGAGATTCTGATGCTCCCTTAATTTATAAGGACATAAGCCAAAACAGAAAACCAATTGCTTGAGTAAATTCCAAAAACTATCATGTGGAATAGATTAAGGTAAGGAGAAGAATGATAACTAATAATTTCTAACGGCCACATCAAGTGACAATTGATAAATTGATATCAGTCCTTACAAACTCCACTATTTATATGACATAGGTCAAAACAAAGTACTTCAGTAAATTCTAAAATCTGGTAGAGAGAAAGGCAAGAAGAGTAGTACCCAATATAGTTCATTTCCAGCATTGCGTTTAAATTTTCAATTTTCCTTCATCACAGGATACTAAAAATGAACAGACAACACGTTCAGATGTAAAACTTAATTTATAAAGAAGCCTGCTATTTTCACTGCTTTCTGAATCACTCAAATATTTTGTACAATTGAGATGCAGGCAGCAACTGGTGTAAGTTGTAACATTCATTTAGATGTCAGCCAAAATTTTGACATGAGGTTCTAAGTATAGTACACATACAATTATATTACCTTCATCTACTTCTTGTAATTTATCCACTCTACGCCATGGTTTCCCAACATGCATGAGGTAACTTTCAATATCTATGAGCTTCTTTTGGGTGTAACACTCTAATATCCAATCCTAACAGTAAAAAATTGAACAAAATAAAGTTTAGATTATGTTGAAACTTGTCAAACCTTTGAAAGCATACAAATTATCCACATGCAAATAATTAGGTAGACCTTCGAAACAATTGTTCCACAATCAGCTTCAACTTGTCGAAACTTGGGTGTATTAGGAAAAGCACAAACCAAGAGAGTGCAATCTGAGTTCCAGTCAGGCTTATATTCTGCCCCCATTTCCAGAGCATGGGACCTCAACATGCTGCGCTCAGGATTGACAAAACCAGACAGCACAAAAACTACCCCTTCCTGTACATTAAAAGTTGTATTACCTCAGCGTTGACAAAGAATACAAAGACAAATCCATGAAGATCATCAGTTGAAAGTATATTATTGAAGATACCAGAAGTTTGGAGAAGCTTTTTGATTCCAAACTAGAAGCAGTAGATTTTCCACTATTTTCAGCTTGCTTGGAAGTTGTCCTGACTAATTGCTCTCCGCTCTTGTTGGGTGTCTCACACTCATAAGATTTCTCATCCTCACCATCCCCCATTGATTTCTTCCCACAACTTCCTTTCTCGTTTTCCCTTGATGTTATCCATGAGGGCAGGTTCCGCTTTGAACCTCTACTATTATTAGCGTCGTTTGGATTTGCTTTACTATTGGACATGACAAAACACACTGAAAGGTTACCCAAGTGCGGGAACTCAAATTCCTCGTCTGGACGACATAGAAACCTGTGCAGGAGCTGATCGAAGTGAAAAAAGAATAAGAGAAGGAGAAGAGCATCAAAAGGATTCACCTTAATGGACTTCAAAACTGCTTTGGCTATGACAGAAACAACTAGCATTACATAATAATTCGAAGTACAATTTCACTACGTATCCGGTGTGCACACAAATTGTTAAATAAGTCCCCCGCCCCCCAAGTTTCTGGTAGGAGCCTAAATGGGTAGCAGGATACAGCCAATCCAGAGAAATGGGGAAAAGGGTGGGAAACATGAGATATTGTATTCAGTTGTTATAAAATAGAAAAGGAAATTTAAGACAATCATTGATCAATGCAGAACTCTCAGAAGCATCGTCCAAGTAAAGCCGCAACACTTGAATCTTAAAAACCAAACTAACAAGAATCGCATGAACGATCAGAAAGAGGAATGGATTAGAGTTTGAGAATATATGGGGCATGAGAAAATGAAGAGGAAAACCTACCTGTCCTCTCTCTTTGCTCTTCCTCCTTCGTCGCTGCGACTAGTAAACGAGTCTGTCCCCTGCTCAGCTCCATTCCGTTCTTTGCCTGACGAAGACGCGGACAGCAGTGGTTCATTTTGTGGTGCGCAAGGTACAAAATACGACTAAAGATAAATGTATGATGTCTTTCGATCATCGCAGTGGACGTGCCGGAGTGGTTATCGGGCATGACTAGAAATCATGTGGGCTCTGCCCGCGCAGGTTCGAATCCTGCCGTTCACGCTTTTGCAATTCGGACCAAAGGGTTATAAAATACTAAAATGCCTCTAAGTCCATGAAACAGTTAAGATATTACACAGCCTCTCAATATAAGCACCTTTTTATGTTAAATTACCATATTATCCATCAGTCCTAAATCCTATCGTTTCCTCTTCTCTATTGATAGCCTGAGCCCTGAATCTTTCTCATCTCTTGCCGCCGAGAACTTATGATTGTTCTCATTGTTTGGCTCCAAACCAGAGCTTCAGCGCTCTCCTGCTGCGCAACACAATCCCTGCTTTCTTCCTTCTCACTCATCATCCCTTGTCTCCCTTCACCAATCCCGTGAAGCTCTTTCCGGGAGAATGTAAGGAATGCTCGTCTTTTTTCTCATACATTCCTTCTTGGGTTGTTTGGTTTCCTTGAATCCGAATGTGGGGTGAACGAAGTTTGTCTTCCTTTGTGCCGGGTTTGATCATCTCAAGTTCTTTTATTTGGAATTTGCATGATTAAATGAATTGTTATGGCCGTTTTTGTTCTTTTTTTCCTCCCGAAATTTTGGTGCAAGTCAGTCAATGGAATGAAATGTGGTTTTCACTAAGAAATGGAATTAAATAAAAAGAAGGGCATGTGATTTTTACTAAGAAATTAATGTGATTTTTATTTAGGGTATGTGATTTTCAGATATCATGTGGAGAATTATTCTTATCTCGACTCCCTTCTTGACGGTGCAGTGAGCATGAAAGTTCTCAGCGGTGCTGGGATGACATTGGTTGAGAGTTTAGAGTCCAGAGCAAGCAAAAGTGATAAGGACATTTTAGGATTCAAGACGGACAACATGGCAATTGAATTTGGAAAATTATTTACGTCGGGGACCATAGGATTTCGGAGTACTTCGAGACAGGAGTTGAGAGTATTTTGCAATTTTTTTATGTGACTTTAGAATAATTCTTCCTAAAATTATTGCTAAATATTTTCTTCCTTAAAAAATATAAAATATTTTTAATTAAATCTCACATTTAATAAAATAGTAACTTATTTTTAAACTAATATTATTTTTTCATGTTTATCTCTAAGTAATAGATTGTTTTACTTTAAAATAAATATAAAATAACTATTTAATAGGGACACTTTTTAAAAAAAGACAATGATTACACCTTAAAATATTAAAAGTGCCTTATATTTTTTAACATTCAACCTCTCAAAAAATACCTTACAACTTTTAATGAAAGAAGTAATTGTAACATCTTGATTTTTAATTCCCTAATTTACTAAAATTAATAAGGATAATTAAGTAAGTTATTGTGGTGTGTGGTCAGAGGAAAATAATTAGTGTTTTTAGTTAGAATTTCAGGTATAATTTAGATTTAAAGTGAAATTGGGTTATTTGAGAATCAAAAAGTGGAGAAAAACAAGTTAAAAAACCTTTGTGCCACATGCTGCAGCGCACAGGGCCATCGGGTAAGAATTTTCCTTCTTTGTACCACATGCCGCGTTGCATGGGGACAAGTGCTACGGTGGACAGTGCAAATTCTATAGATATCAGTCGTGAAATGAGACAAACACAGAAAGGAAAGGGAAACGGAAGAAAACACACCAAACTTTGCTAAGGCACGATCTAAGGGAGGATTTGAAACTCCAAATCATCTAAGGTAAGATTCCTACACCACTTTTCTCTTTTTCTCTTTCATTTTCCCAAGGATTTGAATGAGGATGATGATTTCAATCCATATGGGGTATGGGTTCGAACCCATTGACTCAAATAGAATTAATGAGAGTTGTTTAGAGTATTTAAACTTAATATTAATGATTTTGGTGGTGGTTGAATGATGAGCTCTATTAATATTCGAAATTTGCATTTATATGAGTGGTTGAAAAAATGTAATGCCATTAATAGGAACTTAATAGCTCATTAATATTATTGAGAATTAAAGAGTGATAATAAATCTAATGGATAGGCTCAAACTCATGTAGAGTGAACGTTAGGTAATTTAGAAGTAGAGAGTGAGAGTTTAATGCTTGAGTTGGTAATGTTAATAAAATTCAACCTGATTGATTGTAGTTTTGGCTCTTGGTCACCTTTTTAGCTTGGGAATTCAAGCTTGAAAGCTTTTATATTGAGAGATAAATTTTTAACCTCTCAAAAGTTTAAGGTAACCAAGGGAACACTACTTTAGATAGTTATATGTTAAGGTAACTAAGAAAACACTACTTTAAGTAGTTATATATTAATTGATTGTAAATTGACTTCTAAATGTGAATGTTGCATGCATGAGTTGATTTTAAATGTGAAAGCATGTGTTAGTTTCAATGTGTGTACGAAAATTGAATGTGCATAATGTCATTTATGGTTTGAAACTTAAATGTTAAATCAAGATGTTTTTGAACTATGAACACACATATATCTTTGAAAAAAAATGAATGTGATGATGTGTTGTAAATAAATAATGAGTGATTGATTTGATAAAAATGAGAAATTGTGATTGAAAAATGCGTGTATGTGATATAATTAAAAAAATTAATAAGATATTGATGTGTACTTGGGTAGCACTTAGTCGTAAGCCCAATATGTTAATTTTGATAATGACCAAAGGAAAAAGTGAAAAGAATGAGTATTGACTATGGCATGATCAGAGGGCGGGAGTTTGCCTAGTGATTAAGAGTAGAGAAAAATTCATTTGGTATTTAAGTTGTCCTTTGGTGCACGGAGGTATAGCCTTATCTCATAGTTTGTCGAGAGATTATCCCATAGTTTGTCGAGAAACTAAAACCTAGCTATCTCCACTAGTTCAATAAAGAGAATAGCTTAGGGTATGAAACACTTCAGAGATTTGAGAATGGGAGAAACTGTGGTTTGAGAGTGAGTCATGTGGTCTTTGGCCGGGTCATACCTCATGATTAGTGAGCTTAGATAGTCTAGTCACATCAACAAAGTCATATTCAATGTTATAGCTCATGATTTCAGTTTGAAGAAATAAGGAGGATATAAGATTAATTGATCATTACATAAATAAATATATGATATATCACACATGTTAAGTTGTGGCAAGTCGCATGAATAATGGGTTATGATCACATATTTGAGAGTAATGTGACAATGCACCTAGTATAAATGAGATAAAGATGTTACAAAATAAGCAATAATGAGTTATGTGTGAGTATGTTTTCAGTACTTGTTTTATATGCATGTGCTTGGTTTATAATTGATATATAATTGCAGAAGGTAGGTTTTACCTTGATTACTGAGTGGCTAAACTAACCCCTTTCATTTAACACTTTTCAGGCTTTAGTTTTGATGCACAGAGAGAGAAGGCTCAAGAGGTTAGGAATTAACATATTCTTATTGTATGCCTCTAACTTAGATATATTTTGTATAATAGAATTTGAATGCCAATTTTAGGTTGCATGCCATCACACTTATACTATTTTGTTGTTGCAAATGTTTAATTTATATCTTGAGTCCTAAGTATTTGTGTATGTTGAGGTATATATGTTTATAGAGCCAAAATACCAGTACAAGTGTGAAAATAATGATTTGAACATGTTTTGATTGATTTAGGTGCAATGCAATAATAATTTAACTACCCCTCTGTTTTTAGTAAAAAGGGGTTAAGAAGTGAAATTTTGTTCTGCTATTGTTTTAGTGCATGTGACGTGTAGTACTGATAGTCCTAAGTTCAATGGACACGATCCAAGTGTTAGAAAAGGCTTTTGGTACTTGTTGAGGGTTTTGAACACCCTTTTTGTGTGGAAGTTATGAAAAGTGATAAAATTACATTAGGGTGTCCAACTTCCTGATATGACTTGTTTTGAAAGAGAAACTCATGCCATTTAGCTAGTTCATATTAAGAGTTTTCTATAGACACCTAGATCACGTCATTTGAACATTAGATGAAGAATCAGGGTGCATCAGAAGTTCCCCAATTCTGCTGTCAAATGACAGCAGAATCAATTGAATTTTCATGCAAAACGCTGCGGTGCATGGCGCCTGAGCTATGGCTCGCGGCACGTGGCATAGAGAGCAACACATCGCGGCGTATTAACCTGTTATACAATAAAAGAGTTGTTTTTCACTTGTTTTCGATTTATTTCACTCCTCTAAAGTATCCCATGCTTTCATAACTTATTTTTACTCTGATACAAGAGATATTGATCATTTTAAACTCTTTATGATTATGAAAAAGTTAAGATCTCTTACTTTTGAATTAAACCTTGGTAATCCCTCTTTGAATTAATCCTTTAATTATCATGAGTTATATTGGTTGATTGTGTTTGGTGGAATGAGATTTTATAGTAATCATTCCTATAATTTTATTATAATTAAACTAAATTATTATTACTAGTGCTATTATTATCGTCAACTTATTATATATACAACTCTCGTAGAATGATACTGATTGGCTAGAAATATCTTTCCTCTCATTTGTCAACAATCTTTGTTATAATGTTAATTCTCCCCTTCCAGTTCAATCAATTTTTTATATATCCATATATTAGAGGTGTAGTCTATGTATTCAACTGTCGTGCCATTTTTGTTTTCAAATTTTGAATGAAGAAATCAAAATTCACGAGAGCATTAACTTTGATGTGCATTTGGTTTTTAGTTTATCAAAAGTTTATTTGATAAAAGTCAGTTTAGAGAAAGTCAATTCTTGTAATAAAATTTGTGTTTGAATATATTTTTTCAAAAGTTAATTTGGTACACTAAAATTTATTTGATTTATGATAGTGAAATATACTTTTAAATGTACAATTACTAAAAAGGACATTAATTTATGATAATTTATAATTTTTATTATACAAATATAATATATTTAAAATATTTAAAAAATGTAATAAAGATTTTAAATAACATAAATTTTGATTTATAATGCTAAAAATTTGTTATCTAGTTATTTATTTTTTT